AAGTAATTGATATCTAATTTTGAAGGCAGTACTACATGTATATATGAGCAATAATTTTGCATAGAAACATTAATATATATAAATTCTAAATCTGTTGGTTTCATTTTTGAACATTTTGTTTTTCGCTATAATCTTTGCAAGTTTGACTTTTCTTGATAAAATAATATTATCCAATGCAAAATTCATTGTTAAGTGAACTGTGTCATATATTGATTAAACGAGATCTAAATCAATACTTCTTGCCTATCTGTAATTGAATATTTAGATTGAACGTTGTTTTTGGAGACGATATCTTTATCAACCTGATTAATATCGCGTAAAAACATGGAATGTGAACAAATAAGCCTTTAAGTTTTGCCCAGCATGAATGTTGAATCTTAAGAAGGATAAACAAGAACCCATAACTCACGGAGAGGCTACGTAGATAAGAATAAGTAAATATTGTAAGCTTAACATTACAAGTGAGTGAAAGTCGTCAAAGAAGAAGAAAAATATCAAAATAAAAGGTAATTTGTTTATAAAGTCTTGAAAATATTAAAGAACGTGTCTGGCAATTAATTACTTGTGATATTCGAGTCATTATTAAAAGGAAATTTTGTCAAATTTTTTTGAGAATGACAAAGAAATACGGACAGGTATGGCATATATTTTATAAATACTAAATGTATATTTTTAGAATTTTTTTTTAGATAAACAACTGATCACTAGAGGAACACACAAGCGTCCAAAATGTACAGTTTTCGGTTTCTGACGTGACAGGTTTAAATCTGTTTTATTATAACACTTTAATTTATTTGGTCGGACAAATAAATGAAGATAATAACACATGTACTACGTTTAGTTTGAGCTGCAATATATCATATTTAATATTTCTAAAAGGGAAAATTCTACAATGAGTGATACGGTTTCCAGTGGATATATGTCAGTCGAGGAGATCCACCCTGCGTCTGAAACTGATGGTGAAATGCACCCTGACGTTATACTGGATGATTCAAAGGATTGGAGAAGGACGAAGCAATTAGGAAAACAGGGCTAAATCATGCCATTGATTTTTGGGGTAAAATTTTTTATAACTCATTAAACAGATTGTAAATAAAATTATTTGTCTGTAATGATTTTTTTTAAAACAGTATCTTTTTAAAATTATTTGCCAAATAATCACTATAGTAGATAAATAAATAAATAAATTGTCATAAATCTGCCAAGAATTGAAAAACTTAAACTTTAGATATTCGTAAGTGAATTAATTTCTAGTTATAATTTAAAAAAAAAAAACAGTTAAACTCATTTTAGAGGCTTGTTATATAATTTCATTGCTTTGTCACAAAAATCATTATATAATGCTGCAAACAGAATTCACTATGCCAGGGATTGACTACTCTATTAGCAATGAAAGAATGGGCGAAGAGACATTTGGTGGCAAATGTTTGCATTTGATAGAAGAGGGGAAACTTAACCCATACCAAACGGTACAAGGTTTTGTCTTTCATTCATTATAAATAAAAAATAATAGGAGCTTATTTGCATACAAGTATGATGTTTTCGGGATTCTTTAAATATTATTTCCGAATGATGTTTAATAAGTACTGAGAATACCTTTTGCAACACGAAGTTCTCATCATAGAATTTTCACAAGACAATATAAACAATAATCTGCACAAGTTGCTCCAAAATATCTTTATTATTATTGTATAGAAATTTAGGTTTTATCATAACCAAACAGATGCAACTACTAAAAAGATGCCTTACTTAGATAAAGGAAACAGTATTACCAAGCTGCAGATTATCTTAACTCAAATAAATCTGGCCCAGGGTACATGATTGTCACATCCATCCAATATTAAATGGATTGATATAAAAACACTCACTCAAATGCAATTAAAGTATTTTATTTTCTTGTAATTCAAACCCCTATGAAATTCAAAGATGCGTTTGTAATTCAAAGATTACACTTAATGTGAAATATACAAATATCATTTACATTCACTAGGTTATCTGCGTTTTTGGCGAAACCCTAGAACCTTTCAATCGAGGTGGAAATATTCCAGTGTTCGGATTTGGAGACAGTAAATCTAAAAACAAATCTGTATTTCAATTAAAACCGGGAGTAAGACCTTTTTAATTATACGTATATTGTATAAACAATGCACCAAATTGGATTTCTCAAATGACAGCAGTTATTTGTTTGGATAGTACACTGTAAAAAATCATATCTGTACATTGGTAATTAAAGATTACCCTAATAAAAAAGATAACCACTGCTATCATTTATGGAATTTTAAGAGGTCAACAATCATTGTAATATTCATTTGATTAATGTCTAATGCCCCATCCATGCATCAATTGCGAAACTTGATATTACTTAATTTAGAAATATGTAAAGGTTAAATAAAATAATAAGTACTTACATTTTGGGTTTGTCGATTTCTAATATTGTAAAAAATTTATAAAAAAATGGCAATGTATCATACAAAGAAATTTAAATTAATCTGATAAGTTAGAGATATACTATGCTCAAATTTGATAATAGAAAATATTGATAATTGCTACACAATCTCTTTGTAAATATAAAATAGATACGTTTTGACTTCATACAAAGTAGATATGTAATGTTTCAAATTCTATACACTAAAGGTGATCTATGTGAATATAATTATAGATTTATTAAAAAACTTGTTTATGACTTATCCCGTAATAGGAAACGCAGCTTCCCATACATAGGTTATTTATTCTTTTATTCAAATAAGACATATCAAGTAAGAATTTCAACGATTTCAATAAATTTCTGTGAGCAATGTATTCTAATAGTATATCTTTGATCAATTCTTGTCTAAATTAAGGAGCAGTTGGAATGCGCAAGCGATATTTTGCGTACTTACCACGAAATCACACCAATTATCAAATTTGGGGGAGCAACACAGTTTGCCACGTTGATATATCGGGCTATCGATGTTGTCAAAGAAACGAATGAGGTACATGAATATATATATATATATTTTATTTAAGCGAATGCTGTACGATGCAATTTGATAAATGAGAGCATTTCAGCTATGTTGCAAAACATTTCAAATCGATATTTTCTTATCCTAAAATCTATGCTTTCTTTAAGCACATTGTCGTGAGCTGGGTTATAAATAAATTTACGCAAATCAATAGGTATTTAAGGAAAACATAATTTACATTATTTTAGTACCATATCCTTATCATTGTTACGGATGGCCAGATCCCAGACAAGAAACCCACAGAAAAGGCAATCATTGAGGCTTCTGAATACCCACTTTCCATCATCGTTGTCGGCGTCGGCGATGGACCATGGGACACAATGAAACGGTTCGACGATGGACTTCCTGAAAGAAAATTTGACAATTTTCAGTTCGTAAACTTTTATGAAGTAAAAATCCGGAGGCTGCTTTTGCTCATCAAGCTTTGATGGAAATACCAGAGCAATATCAATATTTGAAAGGAAAAGGTCTTATTGAATGAATATTCATGCATTGATTATATTAAAATAAAGTGCTATTTCAATTATCTTGTACTTGCTAGTAGCTACGCTTAATGAAATGGATTTTTAACGTGTTTGCTTCAACGTAACAGACTGCTTTCAAACACTTAAACAAACTAAAAAATAATTTAAATATAATAGGATGGAACTAAGTAATCTAGTCAAAAAAGTAATTTCCACAAACACTAAAAGGAATAAAACAACACATATCTGATAGGGATTAAACTTTTTTTGGTATATCTTTTTTTGGTATATTCGATGGTATGATATAATTTATGTATTGTTATTTGTAATTATTTTACTGTTTCATAATGTTTGATTGTATTAGTTTGCCATTGTTTAACGTTTTGTAAAAACTGCTGCACCCTGTTCTACCCCGTTTGTACTTGACACCCTTTATTTTACATAACCTCTTCAGTTGTATTATATAGTCAAATAATTCTAAAAATTGTATAATTGTATATTATGTATAGTAACAATAGACGAAATATCATTACCAAATTCAATGTCAACATAAAACTTGCGAACATAGTATAACACAAAATGAGCAAACAACCTGTTATTGAATTAATCACATTTGGGAGCTTAATCAAAACGAATTTTGCTCAAATCAAATTGAATAGTATTATTATTAATAATTCATTATTGTATCGTGAGAAAGCTATCCGGGTAGTATGTTCTTCTCAGGTGCCCAACAACTCGAGTAATAAAAGCTTGACAAAGTGTGATCCCACGGAAGCACATTTAACTGATTAAGCATTCGTTATTTCAAAACAAAAGAAACATATTTAATCATATATTGAAACAAGGTGTTTTATACACATTTATTTCCTTTCAATGTATATTTAAATATTAGAAACCATACGTGAAACTTTTTTATTGTGACTTACTTTCCAAAAATTGCTCGTTTTGCTTACTATACACATGCAAAGAACTGTTTTACTCTATAGATCTTTCAGCAAGATTTTATATGGACTTCTACGATAAAAGATGTTAATATTATGCTTGGTTTCTTGAAGCTTATTTTCATTCATATTGTTACAAATTTATGCCGTCTCGTGTGAATTACTAAAGCTGTTTTTTTTTAATTTTCACAAAAACAAACAATATTCTCGAAAACCATAAAACGTATGCACTTGGTATTTATATTTAAAGAAACTTACCGTGTATATGATAGCCCAGACCTAATAATTATTAATTATTATGGATTAAGGACACGTTTGTCACATACATTTATAAAAATAATGAACTTACCGAGGCTCATTAGTCGCATTACCCGTATTACTATACAAAGTCACGTGATTCCCCCGTGTCTCTAGAAATAAACGAAAACAAAAAAATCCAAATATTAATTGAAAATCGTAAGCCCGATTATATTGACTTTATTCATGAGATATAAAGGGAAGTGCCACATCTCTCACGGCTCCTAGAACTGGCTTAGCACATCCTGTATCTTTTTATTGTTGATCAAGTATATTTAGAATGGTTTATACGATTACTGCTTAAGCCGGTGAGAAGGATAAGTTGCACTTTATATATTCTATCATGAAGAAACACAATTAAATCGAACATGCTTTTTTCACCTTTTTCATTTTTGATTGAGGTATCTTTTTTTCGATTTTTATAAATGTTTGATGTACAATGATTTTTAATATTTATAAATGAGATAGTTTGACGACATTGGAAAATGTTATGTAAACAAACATACTCTGACTATCAAATAAGTCATAAATTTAAGTAAAGTAAACATAGCAACAAAGATTGCCAGGTGATAAGAGCTTTTAAGTTATGAAGAAGTATATTTAAACAATGAGAATGAGAATAATAAAACCATAAAAGATATGTAATAAAAAATAAGACTTGTTAATAAGGAGAAGATATGTCCATGCAGTGATAATAAATTATGAAGCTCCAAAAATAAATGCGGAATTTGTAGGTGATGAAATATAAATAATAATATTATAATAAGTTATATATATGTATTGTCTTAGGAGACGAAAGATTTTCATTCTAAAATTTGAGGAGATAAAAACAGTATTATAAAAAAGGAATATTTGTTAACAAGAATCAAAGGTTCGTAGTGTTAACAGCGTAAGAAGCAGAGAAACAACATATTGTGAATAAACTTGGTGAAGAGGATAGCAAAGGTATGTTTAGCAAACATCTAATTGGAAAAAATAAAGTACACTAAAATATTACGTATAACAAATTACTTCTAAAAGTTTAAAATAATCTTTCATTCTTTTCACAAAAACAAAACAATAACAAACTTAATTCTTTGTTTTTATAATCCTTAACGAAAAACGCACAGTATTCTTGATATACACTTTTTGAAATATGTACAGTGGGATTCAATAGATGGTTGTATCTATTAAATGTTTTCACACCTTAAGGTACCATTATCATGGGCGATACGGATTCCAGTGGATATATATCAGTTAAAGGAAACCGCCCTGTTAGCTCAAGAACATTTGCGTCTGAAACTGATGTCGAGATCCACCCTAATGTCATACGTGACGAGTATAAAAACCTGCGGGAAGTCAGTGAAGCAATCGGGACGCAAGGCATAGAATCATGTCACATGATATTTGGTTTGATTTTTAAAAAAATCTTTCTCAAAGACGTTGAAACATTTTAAATAAGGAATTCGTTTTATAGAGCATAAAAAGCAATATCTGTTTATAACCTTCAGTTAAAAGTTTATACACAGATTAAATGACAAAAATTTTAAAAGAACCATTTTAGTATTTTCCTACAACTCCTTGTTTAAATGACTGCATTGTTAAAGTATATATAATCCACAATGTCCAATACTGTCATTTCATTTCCATAGACGTTTCGTTATTTATCATACCCTAACTATACAAAATGGGAATTGGGTAGTAGGCAATATATGAATCACTTTGTCACTTTGCAACGTTCCGTCCTGTCCAGTCCCATTCCATCTCAGGAATCAGTGAATTTATATCTGAATTTCAATGTATTATCACAATGGAATTGATGTTCTGAAAACTATTATAGGTAGTTTGACATAATTATGCCTCCTTTTAACTTACAAATTATCCCTTTCTTGAATATCTCCAGAATGACCCTGTAGCTTAAAATATTGATATGGATAGACATGTAAACAATTTAACAGTGTGATGAGATATTACCTTTCCTTTAATTGAATTCTGCTCTGTAATTTGTGTGGTTGTTTATCAACTATATATCTTACAGTAAACAGTATAAGTATTCAATGATTCGAGTTAAAGAACCATTGAAATATCATTCAGAATTATGGGACCATGATCCGGGTCGCGAAATAACATGACAATTGAGCGTAGATACTCAACTGACCAATGAATAACAATAATAACGATCAGATATGTAGAAATATACCTGAACTATTATTACATTACAATAGATGCAGAAAGTATATACTAACAGTGTCACTATTACACATTGATGTGTGTTATTAACATTTTATAGCTGACGGATTCAGCGGAAATAACACTAGAACTTAACCCTTTCACTGCCATAGGGACGGTTTAAGCCGTCCCTGTTATTTTCGGCTTATTTGCCATATGGACGGCTTTAGCCGTTTCTATAATAATAATAATAATAATAATAATAATAAATTAATAATAATAATGATAAAAATAATAATAAATATAAAGAAAATTATACCATCGACAATAATTATTATTATACTAACAGGTTTGGAAACATATATAATCATTATAATACATATAACAAATAATAATAATTATATTAATTAATAAAAACATAGTAATTTCTTAGAAAATCCTCTGGCAAATAGGTGAACAATAAAACAATAACCCTCTGGCAGCGAAAGGGTTAACTAGAATTTACGCAAAAAACGTACAAATAACCCCTTCTTTAACAACTTAACATTGATGAATTCAGTACAGAAACAATACCAAGGGCGATAGTTTATATATTTTACAGTATTTAATTATCCTGTTTTATTTACATTTATCTAACAGAAGATTTTATGAATAAGATTTACTGTACTTGAGCGTTTTGGTATTTTCAAGTGTTTATATTCTTTTTCATTGATTAAGTTTTATGGTTAATTACCGTACCATTTAACTTCAGTAGCCTTAAAAGTGATCCTGACAAAATCATAGCTCTTATTTGTTAAGGATTTGTTATGTTATATTTTGGTATGATTTAATACCACAAACATATTTATTCTGTTAGGGATTGACTACTCTATTAGCAACAACAGAACGGGGGAAAAGACGTTCGGTGGCAAAAGTTTGCATTCAATAGAAGAGAGTGGTCTTAACCCATACCAAAAGGTACAAAAGTTTTCTTTCCTCCACGAAGAAAAATAAATTGTGAAAACAAAATTGCTTTTACGCTTTGTAAGAAAATTATGATGCACTCTGGATTATCTATCCGAACGATGGCAATTGCTAACTACCACATGCACACGTGTACATATAAGTTATAATGTACTTGCGTGTCAAATATTACGCGATTTTATGCTTATCCCCATTAAAGAATTAAAGATTTCGGTAAATTAATATTTTTTTCCTGCAACCTAAGCCCATATGAAAAAATTACAGTTAATGTGAAGCGGCTGCAATATTTATCACATGCATGTATGTATCCCTAGGTGATTTGCGTTTTTGGTGAAACTCTAGAACCGTTCAATCAAGGAGAAAACATTCCTGTGTTTGGTTTTGGAGACTTTAAATGCAAAGACAAGTCTATATTTGAACTAAAACCAGGGGTAAGCTCTTCTTTAATTTTATTTTGTTATTAAACAAAGCATGATACTGATTTAATGAAATTATGGAAAAGGACTTGAAAATTGCAATATACTCTGCACTATATCATTCCTATAAAATGGGAATTCAAGGTTACCTTCTTTGTTGTTGAAAAACAATTTAAGCATGTCGTGTGTGCTTATAGTCAAAATTACAAAATCTTCTTCATACATATTTCATTACAAAGAAATTGAGACACTTTCGTGAGTTTTTGTCAAATTTTGAAATTTGGGAAGATAAGATACAAATGTGTTGAAATACTATGTTGTCTGAAATTGTTTTTTATAGATAAAAGATAAATCTTAAAATATGTAATACAGTTTATGCTTTGATTAAGGAGAAATTACAAACAGCTAGCGATGTATTAGCTGCTTACAAAGAGGTCACACCGATGGTTAAACTTGCGGGCCCAACACAGTTAGCCCCGTTGATATATCGAGCTATCGATGTAGTCAAGGAAACAAAGAAGGTATACCAGTTTGTGATTAGTTGCTAATTAGTTGTACATTTATAAATGTTAGCAATTGCGTTTCAAGAAAAACTCATTTCAAAACTTTCTTTCATTCTTATCTTGTTAATAAATAAGGATCGCATTTGATAATATACTCAAACGATAGATCTAATTTCAAAGAAATAAAGCACAAACCTAAGGTAAAATAGAATTAAAGAAGCTAAAAGATGAAACCTTGCATACATTTGATATTTAATTTTTAAGAATTATTTGTTTATGCTTTCTTAAACGTATAACCATACGATACATACAATTTTAGTACCATATCCTCATTATTGCTACCGACGGACAAATTCCAGATAAGGAACCGACAGCGAAGGCAGTCATTGAGGCTTCCGATTACCCACTTTCCATCATCGTTGTTGGCGTCGGCGATAGACCATGGGACACTATGAAACAGTTTGACGATGAACTCCCTAACAGAAAGTTTGATAACTTTCAGTTTGTAAACTTCCACGAAGTAATGAATAATCGAGCAGATCCGGAGGCTGCTTTTGCGCTTCATGCTTTAATGGAAATACCAAAGCAATATCAATATCTGAAAGAGCAAGATCTGATTCATTGAGCTGTTGTGATTGTTTATAGACAATGTTTATTATGTTCTATAAATTGAATATGTTGACGGCGATATATTTAATAGACTATAAAGTAGTGTAAACTTTAGGGATTAACATACAAAGAGCAATGTTGTTGTACCTTAATATTATACTAATTCTAAAGGAAATTTCCACCGGAACCAATACTTCTATTATTCTATGTATAATGTAAGTATCAATTCTAAAAGTATTTATGTATTCTTTTTTGGAGTATGCTACTTCTTCCATTTTGTCAAGTAGTAACTTGAAGTTTTATTAATTTTCATATTATCATTTTGATTGTATATATACTGGTTTCCTAGCAGTTTTCCGGCCCTTTATAATTTTCGTCCAGTTCGGTCTATTTTTACCAGTAGGGCATCTATGGGACTTCATTAAGTCAGAGAGACATTTTCTATGCATCACATCACCTAAAATAATACAGCGATTTATATGTTTTGAAGCTTTGTCTGTTGTTAAAAGTTACCTTAGAGAACATGCGAAATTTAAAAATAAACACCACCTGGGGAATTCTGGTTTAATGGTCCTGCGCAATAACCGATACCCAATTCCATGTAATCAATACTTTTGAACAATATATTTGCAAACGACGTGGAAAAGGTTGGGAAGTTCTATTTCTTTGATAAAATCATCTTAACATTTCTTACTGGTACTGAATTATAAAAAGGATCCGTAAAACTGCTATGAGATTTTGAATAAACGTGAAAAAAGGTGTTCAGGCCTATATTCCAATTACAAAGTAAAGTAAAATAGCAACATTGAAAACATGGTTATGCTGGACAGGTACCTAACTTTGATCTGTCAAAGTTTTGTTCTCGTCCGTAGACAGTTTTTATTTTATTTGTTACAAAGTGCGATTTGGTGCCGGAAACTGCTAGGAAACCAGTATAGTATTTTTAGACATTTTGTTATCACGAATGTACTTTCATTCTATATGTTTTTGTTTAAGTATGCAGTTATGATGAACATAGTATAGATCTGATTCTATATGAAACAAAGCAACACAATTAAAATTTCTGAGTATTGGTATGAAAACGATTTCTTAACATTTCATTGTAATGGCTATACATGAATATATGTATTTAGAAAATGTGTCTGTTTTTATCTTTTTAAGTTTTAATGCTATGAAAAATCGTAGTGATTCACAAATGTCTATCAAAATGATTAAACAATAAACTTAAAAAATATATATTATATAACAATGTTAACATTTTTGCTGAAACAAGAACAATGAACATAATTACATTTACATTACAATTACAATTATTTACCAAGAAACATTTGACATGAATGCTGAAGCTGTTGTCACTTGTTAGAATATTTTTGTCTGACCCTTTTAACTTTGAAGGTTGTAATTTTGTTGTTTGATATGATAATATTCCCCAATTCAAAATTTATTAAGCAAAGCAATTGAGTCAAGTAGTGAATATTTTGATAAATCAATACTTAGATTGATGTTTTTGACATGATGTTATATTTGATCGATCAAAAGACTAAGTTTGATATCATTTAAAAGCCTGGGTAGTAAGCATATAAACCTTTAAAGTTAGCATAGCAAAACTGTTTAATTTTAGGAATGATAAGAAACAATAACTTACGGCGAAGAGAATTCAATTTAGTAAATACATGTAAGATATTTAACAAAATCTATCTGAAAAGGGCAATATAACGAGTTAGTTAAAACATTCCACCGAGAAGAATTGTAATACCGTCCAAAAAGAAAGAAGAATTTGTTTACAAATTTTTGTAAAAATTATAAAATTAAACAAACAGTGATCGGTATCTTCTTCGGTAATTCGAGTGAATCAATGAAATGTCTTAGTAAAAAATAAAGATCGATAAAGGAATACGCATAGGTAATGTATACAATTTATAAATACTAAAACGAATGTGTGACCAAAGCAATAAGGAAACAGGGCCTAGAATATTTTGTCTGTATCATTATTTTCTTCAAACAAATTGAATCACATACTATAGGATATTATTCATATTTCTTATTATATTTTATTAAAACAATGATTGCTTAAGATCCGCGTTTCAAAGTAGTAAAATGAAAATAGAGATAAAGATATTTATCAAGATCAAATGGCCCATTGCTTCAGACGACTTCATTTTTGTGTAACCATACACACAATCCTAATTTTCGTATGAGACATTATCTAAATTATAACAGTATTTCTATCGTTTCGTTTCTCCCGTGTATTTCTTCATTACTGACAGCAGCAATATGAAAATCACCATGCAGTATCATATGTTTTTTTATAGACATATAAAGTGAAAACGTGAAATATTTTATTCAGAACCGCGAGGCATAATGCTTTGATGTTTTGCATGAGAAAATACCTAGTAGCACCTATCAAATTAAATCAAATCATGTTTCTCGGGATCAACTTTGCCTAGCCCCTAGTTCAACAGGTCAGATTTTTAGTGCAATTTATATACAAGCTATAACCTTCCTCAGCGGACAGATGATACAAATGCAGTGTTGAACAATATTGAGGAATAAGAAAATTGAAGATAATATTTTTAACATGATCTCATAAACCATTTTATAAATAGCGGCAACGAATTAAAAAAGACATATTTGTATTCGCACAGTGCCACATGGGTCTAAGACCTTCTGGATTATAAAAAGTAAAGCAAAAAGTACTTGTTAACTTTCAAACTATGACATGACCCATATTCAACAGAGCGAAATAGAGAGTCTCATATGAAAGCCCAAAACGGCTACATTGAAAATGATGCAGACTCGGTTGAACGATACTGGAAAATGAAATGCAACTGACAATGTGTATAAAAGTCAAGGGTTAAATATTCAGGTCTTCACCACCTTGTATAAGGAATTACCTATGTATGTTTACATTAATCTGATCAAAATCAGCAACTAATGCATTAGGGTCTGACAACAACCTTAAGAGTGTTACTTTCTCGTCAAACAGTCAATCATCGGGGAGCTTTGACAATTTTGTAAGCGATGCTGTTTCTAATTCTAACCACATGAAAACCAATACTGAGTAGAAAATTTTCACGATTTCGAGGGCAAGCATGACGTTGTCCATTAAGCCGGCAGGTGAACTGGCAAAACAATTTTGTTGCTTTGTTTCCAGTTTATTATTTTAAATTACTTATAGAATATTTTCTTCTAAAAATCAACATTTTCTTTAACTGTTTTCCACTGACAATGATATTTTGATACTTCGTTTAATGCCCATCTGTATAGGATGATGCGATTGCATGTAATAAAATAGCTTTCTCGGGAAATCCAAATGACAATGAAGGCAAATCAAATACGGCGGCCATCAGATCTACATGTAAGAAATTTGAACTAAGTCTATGTTAACATTAAGTACATGAGTGTGTGTTTTAACACATTGAGTTCTATAGGGCATTGACCATTTTTAGGTGATGCATGCAAGCAAATAATAAACCTGTAATTCCATCTATAAATTGGTGTAATATCATGCGGTGGCATAATACCATGAAGTGGCATTGATAAATTCGGATATTTCACTTCGATTTAAGCTTGTGATTATTCGAAAATAGTAGAGCTAACAAACTAACTCCGGCGTTGGCACCTGTGATAGTGAACCACTTAACCTTAAAATTTCGCATGAAATGTCGTATCTCATTAAACACAAATGGCATTTGCCTGTAGATTCACACAATTATTTTAAGCGCATAGCAGGAGATCACTATCTTAGGCCCATAACTCAAGCAAATTATGACCCTTGATGAACTTAAAACATTCTTGGTAAAAGTCTGACATGCAGCATCGATCTTCAAAACTAACTAGTTAGAAAGATATATAAGCGATAATTATATGGTTTACTGTTGGCAGAATTATGTAATCGTGTCATTGCAACCGATGAGCAGATATCAGATGGATAGGCAATAGGACCATGGGACACAATAAAATGGTGTGACGATAAACTTCTGTTTGAAACAGTGAAATTACCACTTTGATAATTTCACTGTTTTGAATTTAAACCCCTTACGTTGTTTTAGTGAAATACCAGCGTGCACAATACTGGGTACCAACTTAATGACGTGACGTCGTAAATGACGTCACGTTGTATTATTAGTTGGGGCGCTTTTCATTCACTATTAGGTTTAATGTCTTTTTAAAACGTTTCTTTGCATGTAATAAAAAGAAAATTTGTTTAGTTTAGTGTAAGATTGAAATATATTTCACCTTGTGAACACCATAAGTTCATATTTCACTCGTGACTGTGCCACTCGTGAAATATACCTTCTCGGTGAAATATATTCCGATCTTACACTGAACTAAACAAATATCCTCTATTTTAGACTGTGAAAAAAATCCCTAGAGTGTGCATATTAGAACAGAACAGAACAGTATAGAAAGGATTTCCAGAGTAATTTGATAATATGTCTGGCGATTCTGTGGAGTGGTAAAATAATTTTACGGTAGTTTAACTTACGGCGTGTTTATTAGGGGCGATATAGCCGACAAAACTGATATCGGAGTCATATTACTGAAGTGCAACGGGGCGGTAGTTTTAATGGCGGACAGTTATATCGGCAACCCAGACGGCGGGACGGAAAACATTTTTTTTACCTGGCGGATTTCGGCGATATTTGTGAAAGTTTCCAGCAAATACCATGGCGGAGTCAATACATAGTGAAATATCTGAATCAAGCTCTATGTCAGTGGATGGTAGACGATCAATAGATACTGTGCATGATTTTAAATCTCATGATCCTGTTGATAACCACGATGATGTAATATTGGATGAGTTTAAAACACTAGAGGAAGTTAGAGAAGCAATAAGGAAGCAAGGTCTTGAAACCTGCAACTTAATATTCGGTATGTTCATTAACTTTATTTATCGTTTGTTGTTTAATCATTTGTTTAATCTTTTTAATAGCATCAACACAAAAGCAAAGTGTCGAATAGTAAACGTCAGAGCCTTTCAGTCACTTTCCAAATATAAATTTGCTTTCAACATGCCAGGGTCTTTAGATTCTTAGATGTTAGAAAACGTACAGCTTGCATACGGAACATCAGTGGTTCGTACTTGGATGTCCGCTAGTGCCTAATACATAAGACAAATCTACAAAGGCAAAACACCTCAGCTTTACGGTCTCAATTTGACCTTTATGGTGTTTGTGTAACCAAACATCAAACGAAATATGTACGCTAATTGTTTTAGATAAAACGTGTTTTGGTAATATACTCTCAAAATATAAAGATAATACGTTAACATAAACATGTAATTGTACATTTCATATCAATGGCTTTGTAGATAAATGGGCGATACATCGTCCTCGAAACGTGATAATGTACTAAACACACTGATATCAGTTTTCTATCATAAGCTTATATTGAGTGAATTTTGACAGAATTCATTGATATAAAGCTACATGTATTTGAAAATATAGGAAACAATTAATAAACATTCACATTTAAAATAATATATAGAAAAACATTACACAGACTATAATGAAATATTTAATATCGAAATCTTGAATAAAAGTCACACAATATGTCATTATGACAATTAGATGTTGAGCCCTTTAAAACGCATCGTCGGAACCCATGGTAACGCATAGGGTGCGGTCATATTGAGGAGGCTGCCTAGCATGATATGTATTTCATTGGCCAAATGCGCTTCATGAATTGAAGAAACCAATCAAACGGCCGGAATTACGCTTATGAATAATAATTCATTACGAAATATCTTCAGTCAGTTTACTCAGGGTATTTACCGATACTGGTATATGGTACATAGCCTGGGTTATCGAGGGTGCTTTAACCGGTGAAAGAGGGTTTGAGCTTTCTTTAGTGATTCTGTATTTATCTAATTTGGAAGGTTGCATGTATTTACCCCTGTCGTCAATAAACAGACACAATTCAATAAAGTATTCACTGTAATGTAAATGCCTGTAAGGTTGCTTTATTCACAACTAACGGATTTTGTTACGTCTTGACATACATGAATGTTTCGTTGTGCTGTATACTCAACACATTCAATTTAAATGATATGTCTGGCTTATTTTTTAGATATTTAGTTCATTAGAATTTAATTATAATCACAGATAAAATTGATATTGGTACACGTATCTATATCGGGTAGTTAAAATCTAGCTACATTAGTTTGGTTTTCAGATAAACGAATCATGTAGAATTATTGCAGGCATTGACTACACGATGAGTAATAAAAGCCAAGGTCAGAAGACCTTCGAGGGAAGAAATTTACATTCAATATCAGACACTTTACTTAATCCATACCAAAGAGTAAGTATATACAACCTGTAAATTATCAATAATTTTATACATCAAAGTTTTGGGAAATGTTTAGTATTTCAGAAGCACTATTGTTGATATTAACTGAGGCAATCTGACAAGCTTAGAGAGTCAGCCTACAAACACTAAGTTTACATAAATAATTTATCACTTTGAAACTGTTTTTATAGCAATGTTCCATGTGATTTTGAAGAATCAGTAAAATATATTCTAGAAATTTATTGCCTGAAATATTGAAATATTAAAAGTCATTATTTCAAATCTTTTTGAGAATAAAATGCAGAATTTCTTCTTTATTATTAAAAAAAAGACATCAACATAGAAGTAAAATGATTATCTACTATCCGTACAGTTTTGTATTCTAACTATAAAAGTTATACTTTTAAAAAAGCTTAAATTAAAATTATTATAAGCTGTTGTGTTATACGATAATTTAAAACATGTTTCAGGTTATTTGTATATTAGGAGAGACATTAGAGCCGTTTGACGAAGACGGGATTATCCCTGTATTCGGGTTCGGTGATTTCAAATGTAAAGACAAATCTATTTTTGAGCTCAGACCAGAGGTAAATAGTGATTAGAATCATACCTATAGATATAACTAATAATGTGACATTTATTCAACAAATTAGACATGTATAATGTATACGAGATCCATCTTAGATGAATGCCACAGTAATGTATATGCATGTAGTACAAATGACTTATATATTTACATATTCGTAGATATCTGCAACCTTTTTAGGCATACAACTGCTAATTAACAGAATAAACAGATTAACTCCGTCATATTTAGACGAAACACAACATTTATATTTTATGATTTCTTTCCTCATGTAATTTTTCATATTTGTGATAAAATGCTACATTCAGAAACTATACAGTTATTTATATTTTCTATATGGTTATTTTCTAGGCAATTTGTGAAGGTTTCAGTGATGTACTAGATGCCTATATTGAGGTCACACCAACAATTAAGTTAGGTGGACCGACAAACTTTGCACCGTTGATATACAAAGCCATTGAAATAGTGAAGGAAACAAATGAGGTAATTTAAAAGCCAGTTTATACAAAGCTATATAAATAAAAATTTAATGACCATTTTCTCATTCTTCTGCAAAAACAATAGATTTCACATATATTTGATTTAAAAGTTTTCACAACTCCAAACTATAGTAATAATTTAATTTAAGTGTAATGGTGTATCTGTGTTTGTAATTATTTGACAGGTCGAAAACGCTGCCTACACGGGAGCCGAGCTCGAACATTTCGAAATACTTCCCCGTAACCTCTTTAACGACTGAACAACTCATTCGTTCATACACTTTTTTCTATAAAATAAGTAAACAGTTTTGTTCCGTAATGTATCAGAATGTATGACCACATTTTTGAAATAAAAAGAAAAAAAAAAAAGAAAAAAAAAAGAAAACAAAAAACCCAGTAACTTATGTTTTTAATTGTTTTTTTATTTTAGTATCATATCCTAGTTATTGTTGCCGACGGACAAGTTTCATCAGAAAATCCGACCAAAGAAGCACTAGTAGAAGCATCACATTATCCGTTATCAATAATTGTTGTTGGGGTCGGCGATGGACCATGGGGATCTATGAAAACTTTTGATGACAAGCTAACTGACCGTCAGTTTGATAATTTCCAGTTTGTTAACTTTTACGAGGTGACGAAAGACGCGGTAAATCCAGAAGCTGCTTTCGCACTTCATGCATTGATGGAAATACCAGAACAATATAGATACTTAAAACAGAACGGTCTTGTTCGTTAGCATAGCTGCATAGTTACGTAGTAGCATATTTTATTCACACGCGGCTCATTTACTTTGCAATCAATATTGTACGGGACATTAATTCTATTATATATTTGCATATCATGACATGTTTTCATAAGCATCTGAAAAAGTGTTCCTATAGTTATATTGTGCTTGTGGTAATCAGAATTAGAATGCGCTCTCTTTTTGTTTGACATTTGATAGAAATAACAGGGATTTCCACTTGACAAGTTTAAAAGATGTTTTCGAAAAGGGACGCGTATAATTGTATCACACTCAGTTTAGTATATATATATATATATATATATATATATATATATATATATATATATATATATATATATATATATATATATATATATATATATATATATATTTATATATATATATATATATATATTTATATATATATATATAATTGAATTTAATTATCTCCCTTTATATATACTTTATCTGTCTAAATTCATTGTATCCTACGGATCTACTTGATCTTACGGGATCCAGTTGACTTTCGGAAACAGATATATAGTTCTCTGGTCCCAATCAGTGAAGAAGACAAAAAAAATGTCATCGTTGATTTGTGAGGCATGATAACAGAGAACAAACTTTATATATGCGAATGTTGAGCTTGTTTCAATGTGTAGTGCAGTTTGTGACTGTATATAAAGCTGTTCTGAAACCATCATTTTGTGATGGTGGATGGGCAGTGGCTATGCTTTTATGACTGTTCTGCTAGGCGCTGTGCCGTAATTGGACTGGCATATCGATGTGGTGGTATGTGTGTATATATTCTCTCATTTCTATAACAATTTATCTGCATACTTGTCTTAAGTGATCCCACGCAGGGGAAAGTATAACTGTATTGAATTTAATTATCTCCCTTTATCTGTCTAAATTCATTGCATCCGACGGATCTACTTGATCTTACGGGATCCAGTTGACTTTCGGAAATAGATATATAGTTCTCTGGTCCCAATCAGTGAAGAAGACAATTAAAATGTCATCGTTGATTTGTGAGGCATGATAACAGAGAACAAACTCTATATATAAGAATGTTGAGCTTGTTTCAATGTGTAGTGCAGTTTGTGACTGTATATAAAGCTGTTCTGAAACCATCATTTTGAGATGGTGGATGGGCAATGCTTTCATGACTGTTCTGCTAGGCGCTGTGCCGTAATTGGACTGGCATATCGATGTGGTGGTACATGTGTATATTTTCTCTCAATATATATATATATAAATCACACGAAAAATCGGCACGCCGCAGCCGGGACTCGACTCACGGGTCTCTGGATTGCCAGTCCAGTATGCTAACCACTACAACACTGCGGCCGTTGCTTTTTCTTGGTGCTAATTGGCCTAATATATTTACTTTTAACTTTATTGTGACGTCATCACTTTTATTACTATAGCGGCGAGCTATTTATAGCTTCTTTTACCGCAGTTGGCTGACTACTAGTCACTATTAATTTTCTTATTACAAATATCTTATGGCAAACACATTTATTGTTTTTATAAGACCATTCCTGCCCAAGAATGAATATATATGAAAGAAAGAAAGTCATGAGCGAGAAATTATACATAGAAAAATCGCACGAATATACATATTTACTGCGAAACATGAATTTCTTTTCTTTAAGAAAATTATTGTGACATAAATCAGATTGTTCTTATTTACTCATTGTAGCAAATAAAAAACTCTTTACGGATATCAAAGTGTGCTATGAAACGCAAAATTTAAAAAGAATTCACGCATGAAAAAAGGAAACTTAAGACAACCGAAGAACGTGAATATGTTAATGTTTATTTCATTATGATCGGCCGGTTAGGCACTGAATTGTTGAAAACGCCGGGTTTGGCACCAGCGGGTTTATTTATTTCATGATTTTTACGTGTCGTACATTGGTTTTAAAATAAATGTTCTCTTGTCTTGTTCAGTTTGCTTTAGACTGTAAAAAGTAACAGAAGTTATAATGTTATAAACTGATAAATAAAACTTTAAAGAAGGAGTTTGAGTTGTATTAATTTCAGCGTAGTATAAAGTGCTACACAAATTGTCTAGACGGACTCAAACTTGTATACCCATTCCGTGATGTATCCAATTTTCAAGTTTATAATATCAGCTTTGAAAGAAGATTGGAAACTCTTTTCTTTGATAGAATGTCAAGCTCCTGTGGTAGACTAAAACAAATTTCAAAATTTTCCCAATGGTAAACCGTGTAGTTTCTATATACATTTAACCATAGCTTTTTTAATTTAGTAACTACGTGGTGACATCATACTTGGTTATCATAATTAGTTTACACAAGGGTTAATTATGCAATGTTTCCTCTACTATATTCTCATATTCTCCTGTCTTGTACTTGTTGATATTATCTTACAAGTATGTCAATATATTTTATGTCGACACATTTCTTTTCTTTTTTCTTCATTTACTGAAACACATATATTTGAGTCTGAATAAAATACAAATACTTTTGAAACTTTTTGTCGTTTTCTTACTTGAGTGTTGCTGAGGTCTTCAATATAAATTACTTTCGTAAATAAAACAGAAAGGGGAGGTGCCAAAAATACAATGAAGACCCCCAAAATATTGCAGACTCGGTGTTATTGAGTATGTGCATTGGAAATACGGAACATGCAACTTCTCTCACGCCCAAGGTTTTCCATCCCCAACACTAAATGTAAAAAAAATCGATGATCCCGAAGGACAAATATGCAAAAACAATGAGTTTAAGCTGCTGCTGTGAGTACAGAAAATTTGGAAAGGGGAAATCCATCGACGGGGATAGACAAAATCATCGAAAATCGAAAAGTCGTTTTTGTTGTTGTATGTCGTTTTGAGACTCTTCTTGTTTTTGTCGTCTACGGTAAGTAGCATCCATTTCCCTCTCGATTTTTGCTCCCCCCGCCCTGTACTTCCCCTACACCCTTACCCTTTGTTTAGTCTTTTGATTAATTGTCTTCTTTAATATCCTTGTCGGTTTCTATGAGTTCATATTTAAAATCCGTACCTTCCGTGCTTTGCCCTTTGCTTTCATATATTATTTATTACTGGTAGATTATGAACAGTGCAGCATTTTTCACGCCAGAGCAACGGCCGAAGCGGTATTCAGTCCTGGATACTTAATGTATAAGGATATCAATCATCCCGAATCGTGACAAAAATATACAAATGTTAAGTGTAGATCATTGGAAGAAAATGCAACATCTCTCAAGACACCGAGCACCGAATTAAGCTGTATACAATAGTGAGCACTTAAAAGTTTTGGAATCATTAACCTGAGGGAACAGACAAATTTACGTACGGAAAAACATTTTACAGCTAATACCTAGTTGCAAATATAAAAATTCTTGAAAGGATAGATCCCTCGAGATTAACAAAAACAAAAAATCCAAATATTAATTGAAAATCCCTCGATTATATTGACTTTGTTCATGAGATCGAAAAGAAAGTGCCACTTCTCTCACGCCCACCCCTCCCTTGATCTGGCATGACATATGCTGTAGTTTTGTTTGCTGATCATTATATTCAAAATGGATGGTTTAGAAGATAACTGCTTAAGCTGTTTTGCTATTTATATATTCGATCAAGGACATATACAATTTTTCACTTTCAATTAAGATATCCCACCCCCATTTTCCATTTTTCATAAATGTTTGATGTACAATGACTTTAAATATTTATAAATAAGATAGTTTCAAAGCATTTGAAGATATGAATATTTAATGTACGTTGAATATCAAATAAGTCATAAATTAAAAATTTTATGTCAACTTGCAAAGATGTTTATAACTCAAGTGCTTATAACTCATGCAGAAGTGTTTTTAATCAATGATAATGCGATAATAAAACCTTATAACATATGTAATAAAAATAATACTTGTTTATAAGGAGAAGATATGACGAATATATGTCAAGACATTGATCATATAAAGCCCAAAAAATAAATGCGGGATTCGGAGATGATGAAATATTAATAATAATAATGTAGATTAAATATATCTTTTATTAGGGAAACGAATATTTTCATTCATTTGTGAGATCGAAACAGTATTATAAAAAGAAATATTTGTGAACAAGAATAAAATTTTCTTACGATTAAAATCGTAAAAGGCAGAGAAACAGCGTTTTGTCAAGAAACTTGGTTAAGTGGATAGCAAAGGTATGTTCAGCAAACATACTAAGTACACAAAAACAACACGTATACGTATAACAAATTACTTTTGTAAGTTTAAAATAATCTTTCAGTTTTCTTTTTAATAATCCTTAACGAAAAGCACATACTATTTTTGATATATTGATATACATATTCTAAAATACGTGTCATGAGATCCAGTAGATGGTTGTATCTTTTAAATGTTTATAACCCGTAAGGTACCATTTTTACGGGTGATACGGATTCCAGTGGATATATGTTAGTGAAGGAATCCGCCCTGTTAGCTCAAGAACATTTGCAGCTTAAAATAACATAAAATAACACCATCACAATGCAGCTGCATGTGTCAAATTGATAACTCATATACGTATTAAATTTGAAACGAGAATTTATACTTTTTTACTCAGAAATTTATTCTAAAAATTCATTTTATGGAATATCTCTGGAACTAATATGGATATTAACATGAATGTTTAAATATTTTGAAATAAGATAGGTAATCTATATATGCTAAGTTTCTTTTTCAATGAAACGAGTACTTATTTGAAAATAAAGAAAGGGCTAAAAGCAAATTTTACAATGAAATTTTTTTTTTATAAATTGGCATTTCATTTTGATGTAAATGTATCCCCTTTTACTTACAGTATGTCTCGAAATGGACATTTTGTTGAATTTATGATTTGAATATAATAATTATACAGTGCAGAGCATGCACATTTGGAAAAATTGGATTTGTGATGTATTTTCAAAACAAGTTACTGGTCCAGACCAACATCAAATGAAACACTTACCTCGGAAAGATATTTCCAGTCCCGTCATGTCAAAAACTTATGGGGAGTCGCTTTTAAGAGAAAATATGCACACATATTTTCATCTACACACATGCACCCTCAATATGTTGTTATGACTGTATTGTCTATATTATTATCATATGTAAGTTACCCTTTAAAACAGCGACCACAAAGTGTTACTCAAAAATTTTAAAAAGGTTTTTAAAAACAGGAAGTTTTTAAAAAATGCAAAGTAATTTTTTAAAACGGGGAAAATTCATCTCAAGTCTGAAAACATTTAAAAAACACGTTTTTTTTTACGCAAAAAGTTTTCTACTTGAAAAAATTAAAAACCTTTGTCCAATTTTAAAAACACGAAATCAATCATTTTTTATTCCGTTTTCCCTTTTACCTCCTATGTTATGCTAATCTTTCTACGAAACTTACAGTCATTATAAACATAAACATATTTGACAATATGACAAATAAAACAATAAAATTACATATGATGCAAACATTTGCTAAAACAAGAGCATAATAACATTTACCATGAAATGCTTATTATTTTGCATTAAAATCATTAAGCTGTTGTTACTTGTTTGAATATTTTCGTTTGTCCCTTTCAACTTTGAAAATTGTATTTTTGTTCTTTGAGATAATAATATTCCCAAATTCAAAATTTATTAAGCAAAGCTAATTTTGCTGTTAAGTCATGTTGTGAAAATTTTGATAAATCAATACTTAATTTATGTTTTTGACACGATCTTATCCTTAATCAATAAAAAGTTTTATATCATTTGAAAACCTGGGAAGTAAAGATGTAAGCAAACATTCTTTAACTTTATAGCATAGCAAACATGTTTAATTTTAAGAAAGATAAGAAACAATATATTACGGAGAAGGGAAGTAAATTTAGTTAATTTAAGATCCAGTACGGTCCGAATAAGGGAATAACGTCATAAAAGTAATTTAATACCAGTTAGTATATAATACCACAACGTAAAATTGTTATACCGTCCAAAAGAGAAAATAGTTTGTTCCTTGAAAAAAGGAAATAGTTTGTAACAAAAGTTGAAATCGATAAAGGAATACACAAAGGTAAGGGATACAATTTATAAATAATAAAACACTGTTTAAGTAAGAATACATTTAGATAAATAAAATATCTAAACAAGCACCTGTATGCGTTCAAAATGTTTTGCTTCTCTTTTAAGCTTCTTATAAAAAAGGTAAACGGCTATTTCAATCTAATTTACGGTAGAAAAAAAAATGATTGGACATGTTTAATTATATAATTATATCTATACCACTTTTACGAAAAAAGTCTGATCGGACAAATTAATGAAGAAAATTACAGCTGCATTATGCTTAGTTTTAGTTGAAATATTTATTCCTCTTTGAGGTAAAATACTGCCATGTGTAATACACCTACCAGTGGGTATATGACAGCCGAAACAACCGGATCTGTTAATTCAAGAACACTAGTGTCTGACACTGATGTTAATACCCACCCTGATGTTATATATGATGAGTACAAAAACTTGGAGGAAGTTACCGAAGCAATAAGGAAACAGGGCCTAGAATCATGTCATATGATATTTGGTCTGTATCTTTATTATTTTTTCTTTCAAAAACATTGAAACGCATACTATAGGATATTTATGTTTCTGTTTATACATTATTAAAGCAATGTATGCAGTAAGATCCGAGTTACATAGTAGTAAAATAAAAATACAGATAAAGACATACAAAATGGCCCACCGGAGACATTCTTGAATGCCTCATACAACTATTTTTATTTAGGAAATAGATAACAAATCTGAGTGCATTGTTGTAGAATAATGCACGGTTTGAGTTCAAATGCGTAGTAATATAATCACGAAGGCCGATAGGCCTGAGTGATTAATTACAAAGCATTTGAACGAAAAACATGCATTATTATACAACAATGCACTCAGATTTGATATCTATTTCCTAAATAAAAATACAATAATGCAAGAAGAATTAATATCTATTTCCATTCTGACACGTCAAGAAAAATATAATTATTATTATAAAGTTGGACTTTATGTTTGGTGGTTAAATTTGTTTTCGCCTCAGAGTTTCCAATAGAAACGTTCTTTAAAGGCTGTTCCAGTGGGTTGAAAAAAACTGTCGTTAAATATACCGTGTGCAGAAACATTTTAAGAATAATGAATTTTGAAAACGTTGATGAAACTTTGTTTGTTTATTTTATTTCACTCTAAATCTTTTCAAGCGAAATACAAATTATTCAAAGTGAAATAAATGTAAAACTTAACTCGTTTGCGACATTAAAATAGCGTACTTGATTTGATTGTTTTGCACGTGCTGTTTGGCGCTACACTGTGACGCCACATAAACAACATATTAAACGTCTGTACAGCGTTAATGACTGAATTACAGATATTGGTGTTCGGATTCATTTTCTTAGTTAGACCATTTTCTTTCATTCTAGATAGTGTTCACAACAAAATTCGACAAACAATTGTTTTTTATTTATCAGATTTTTCTAACAAAATGGCGCCCTCATTGTGAAAATACACAGGGAGATGATAAGAACGGCGAGTGCATTGTTGTAGAATAATGCACGCTTCGGGCCTTCTTTGTTTATATAGAAAAAATTCCAATAGTGTTAGAATGTATAACTATACGCACAACCGTAATTTTCGTATGTGACATGGTCTTAATTATAAGAGTAATACTACCATTTCTTTAAAGTTTACTTTTTCGGTTGTATTCAGTACTACTTGTTTGGTTGTGAACATATGATTTAATGCCGTAAACAATATCATACCGGTATACATTCTTTCAGGGATTGACTACACCGGATTGACTACACCGTTAGCAACAATAGAATGGGGAAAGTGACTTTCGGAGGTAAATGTTTGCATTCGATGGAAGAGACGGGCCTTAACCCATACCAAACGGTAATAGATGTGTCTCTTATTTCTTATTAATTACACAAGAAAGCGCGTAATGGATATTGCTTACAATTTTTGTCAGAAAGGTATGATTATCTTGTGATTTTTAAGGAATAATAATAAAAAACACGAATAATAAAAAACTTTACAGAAATAAAACAAAACACTTATGGGGAATATTAAAATCTTTAAAGCTTCCTTCTCAGGCCGTACAAAATACTAGTATTATTTGCAAGTAATTGAGCATGTAAATGAAACGTTTATAAGTAAACTATTGTTTAAACTAAACCATTTAAAATATTATTCAATCGAGCTTGCAAAAACAGTTTAAAGATTTCATACAGTTAAAATATTACGGAGCCCCTAAGGTGACATTCTCGACAATTCGTTTTTACGAAATATTAATTCGTAATTACGAAATATTAATTCGTATTTACGAAATATTAATTCGTTTTTACGAAATATTATATCGTAATTACGAAATAATAATTCGTTTTTACGAAATAATAATTCGTTTTTACGAAATATTAATTCGTATTTACGAAATATTAATTCGTTTTTACGAAATATTAATTCGTTTTTACGAAATATTATTTCGTTTTTAGGAAATATTCATTTGTTTTTACGATATAATAATTCGTTTTTACGAACTATTAATTCGTAATTAGGAAATATTAATTCGTTTTTACGAAATATTAATTCGTTTTTACGAAATATTAATTCGTTTTTACGAAATATTATTTCGTTTTTAGGAAATATTCATTTGTTTTTACGATATAATAATTCGTTTTTACGAAATATTAATTCGTAATTAGGAAATATTAATTCGTTTTTACGAAATCTTATTTAATGTCATTGTGAGCTTGACAAAGAACCTATTAATCTCACAAATGGGTCATTTACAAGCCTTGATCAACATTGCGATTGTAAGCCGAATGGTTCTCAAGTTATGATATTTAAGTGAACGAGAAGTCATTGTCTATCGAAAATGGTCTCTTTTTCCCCATTGTCAAATACATGTTCCTATCAGCAATGTTTTAATGTTTTAGGCAATTAATCTTTTATGACATGTTGCTTTAAAACAGAAACATGCTATATTATTCCTTTCTTTTATCATATACATATACATTAGTAAAACTAAAGGGGCGAGGGGGCGGGTCTCCAGGTTTTCACTAATATAATCAATTTAAAAGAGAATATTTCCTATTTATGTATGGGCACCGTGCGATCATAAAAACATAATACTTTATTTCAAAACTCAATAGTTTCGAAACAGAAAAAAATGTCCGTGTTTGGATTTGAAGCACAGGACCCTCATTTTAACTAAATTTTCCTAGCGCGTGTACTATCACGGCTGTGGCTCAACGCTATTGACAGGCGATTATTTTAATTTATATACAATAGTGTTCAGTTAAAAAACTTGCGAATAAAATTTACATGCCTTATATTCAGTCAGGAACTTAGTTTCGAGGCCTTTTTTATAACTATTACCAAAACTCTTTGAAAAATTAATTCGTTTTTAAGAAATATAATTTCGTAGTAATGAATTATTATTTCGTAAATTACGAAATAACATTTCGTTTATACGAATTAATATTTCGTAAAAACGAATTAATATTTCGTAATAACGAATTAATATTTCGTAATTACGAATTAACATTTCGTAAAAACGAATTAATATTTCGTAATTACGCATTAATATTTCGTAATTACTAATTAATATTTCGTAAAACGAATTAACATTTCGTAATTACGAATTATTATTTCGTAAAAATGAATAAAGTTCCGGGGGGAAAAGTTTGGAGAATGTCACCTTAGGGACTCCGTAAAATATACATATGTTATATTATATCTATAAATAATTATTCCTAGGTTATCTGCATTTTTGGTGAAACTCTTGAACCTTTAAATCGGGGAGAAAATATTCCTGTGTTTGGATTCGGAGATAGCAAATGTAAAGACAAGTCTATATTTGAACTTAAACCAGGGGTAAGAATATATATTTATATTTAAGATTTATTTATTGAGTGTTATTAAGATAAATCGATGCATTTTTTGTAAAAATCAGTTCAAACTATAGCAAAAGTTCATTAAAAGTTTTATAAGACTTTCCATTTTATTAAGTTCCGCCCATGTTTTTCTTGTTTAGGGCACACGCATTCTTTTGCTCGGGGACCAAACGCCGCTTTTCAAAGAATGAAACTACTGTGTCACATTGAAGGTTCCATGATAACCGCCGTATGAACACATCTGCGAATGTTTCTAAATTCAAAATTTCACCATTTTCGTGTTTAAATGATGAATTCTGCTTAAGCCGGTGTTAGAGCACTTTTCAGTGCCGTCCATGAACAGGCTCAATCAAACCGAGCCTGCAACATTTTACAATTTTGCCGTGGTGGGCTTTCTTCAGGGATTCTGTTATTCTCTATTTTGTTAGAATAGATAACACACTAATGTGAATTTATGGTTGCTAAAATTTCAAAAATTCATATTTGAGTAATGAAAGATTTTCATAAATATACTATTCAACCAAGCACTATATGTTTGAGTGGGAATATTGTTTGGGATAATTTTATGAACGTCGTGCGAAAGGTTTTCTCACTGGTTCCTGTTACTGGGTCGGGTGGGGGTTCATTGAACGCCGCCTTTACTTGTTGATCTTGTTTATCATATTTTGTGCTAGAGAAGAGGATGACCCCCCTCTTCGAAGATTTCAGAACATGCAACGTGTTTTCCAAATTTGTTAAATTGGATTATTTGTTTACAATGTTAGACTTAATACCGTGTGTATTACCCGTGACTATCAATTACAGCTTGGCAGCGCCTTCTCATACTCCCTATTTCGTTTCTGATTGTTCTAACGGGAATGGCTGCCCAAGATGGCTCCAAGCTCCTGGATGGTTCTGGGTTGCAGCAGAGGAGCTGAATTCTAACCTGCAGCTCATTCCACACATGTTCTATTAGTTTAAGTCAGGAGAGCGAGCTGGTCAGTCCATGCGCTCAATAGCCTCCCCTCTAGGTAGTCCTGGACCATCCAGGCCCTATGGGGGCGAGCATTATCGTCCATTAGAATGAACTGATCGCCGATTGCTCCAGCATACAACCTAACCTGATTGTCTAAGATGTCGTCTATGCATGGCTGACCTGTCAATGGCCTCCCTATACCATAACTGACCAACCTTAGTAGCGGTCATGCCAAGCAATATTTGCAGCCTGAAACGGTTTACCTCGTCTTCTCCAAACTCTAGCACCACTATCTGTGATGTCTTGACAGAACCTGGACTCGTCAGTGAACAGAACGTGTCTCCAGTGTTGCGTTGTCTAACGTGTTTGCTCCATGGCCCATCCCAAACGGGCCTGACTATGCCGACGCGTCAATGGGATAGGTATGCAAGGTCTTCTCGACCGCAAATTACCTTCATGCAGCTTTCTACGTTACGCCTGTATAGAAGCACGGACGCCCGCAGAGAATTTGCTGTCGAAAACGACAAAACACCGATCCTGAAGTGGTGTTGTGACCCTTTGCCGACCTCAAGAACTCATCCTGGCGGGTGTACCATGTAGCCGGTATCTCTCCCAGGCTTTGGTGACTACGGTGTAGTGTACACCAAGCGCCGCACCAACTTGGCGGAAAATGGTCCCCTGCTGCACCATCCCTACAGCCCTCCATTACTCTGCTCCTCTTAAATGCCACCTCATGTTAGCATTCGCTATATCGATGTGACAGATGTAACAAATGTAAGCCACTGAATGACAATAAGCCGGTAATGTATCTGGTTGTACACCCCACCAAAACATGAAAATATTAAGATGCATGCTTTCCATGCTATATAGGCGAGTTGTAACGAATAACTCAACACGATGTCAATTCAATGTCAGAGGACTATTTTAAAACATTGCTGAATCAGAGGTTTCAAAATTTGGAAAGAAATCTGTTTTATACTTGTGATAATATAAAAATTAATTTATGATGCTTAGCAAAAGTTGAGTGGTATATTTATGCGAATTAAATGGCTGATTATGCAGTATTTATGACCATATTTCTACTGCATGACAAACGCAGTAAGGCCTATTTTTGCAAATTATTTACATGTTTCTGGTAATATACGTTGATTGAAAGTGCCGTTTACAATGTGTTAATTGCTTTCTTTGTTCATTTCCACAACATTATACTTTTAACTTTTTCATAATTTCCATAAAAACAGCATAAAAACAGCATAAATCTGAAGGCATGCTGACCAGAAATATGTCATTCAGCTGATTAACAGTGTCTTATACATTTCTTGACCAGGAACAATTAGGAACTGCTAGTCATATTCTGGCTGCTTACAACGAGGTCACACCTACAATAACGCTTGGGGGACCAACGCAGTTAACCCCTCTGATATATGCAGCTATCGATGTAGTCAAAGAAACAAAAGAGGTACATCAATTCATATGTTTAAGTGTTATAATATCATAAATCCGCAACAATGATCTATATTCTAAACTCTCTTTTAATGCAAGTAAGAATGCATTGGTCATACAGTTACAAGATCGAAAGCAAAAATATACTATTAATACTCTGAAATAAAATACAAATTGAAAAAATTATTATATAACAACTTACATATTTAATTGATCATCGCAGCATCTGCGGTTCGTAAGTATCTATCGATTGCCCTGTGTTTGTTTGTGTGTGAGCATGGATGTAGCCATGTGCATATACGTCTTGTAGTAATCAATGATCTACATTGCCTTACATTAATGTCCTGATATGTCCTAGGTCTTTGACATTTTAGATGAGGCATAACCTAGTAGGTTTCTAAATCAAATAATTGTCCCTGCGACCAAATTTGCATAGCTCCTGGTCCAACATGTCAGACTTTTATTTCAATTTATATACAAGCTAAAACCTACCTAAAATATTTACACTTATTTGAGAGCATAATAGGTCACTTAGGTCCATAACTCAAACATAGATTTTGACAGAATTATGTCCATCTTTGAAATTAGGAAACTCTTGGTAAAAGTTTTACAGGTAACATCAATCTTTACTGATAAATATTGTCTATTATTATTATTGTCATTGTTTGAAAAAAAATGAACCTTGTGCAAAGCACTGAGATAAATATACGGATAAATACAAGTCAAAAATATTATTTTTAGTATCATATCCTTATCATTGCTACCGATGGACAGATCCCAGATGAAAAACCGACAGCAAAGGCAATCATCGAGGCTTCTGAATACCCACTTTCCATTATCCTTGTCGGCGTCGGCGATGGACCATGGGATACAATGAAACGGTTTGACGATCAACTTCCTGCAAGAAAATTTGATAACTTTCAGTTCGTAAACTTCCACGAAGTAATGAATGATCGAACAAATCCAGAGGCTGCTTTTGCGCTTCATGCTTTAATGGAAATACCAAAGCAGTATCAATATTTGAAAAGAGAAGGTCTTATTGGATAAGCTGTTGTGAATTCATCTACATACTTCTCCGACGTTTTAAAAACAATATTTTTTAGTTTCCCAAGGAGAATCTATTGTGCCATATTGATAACCCTCTAACAGGCTACAATCAAACAATTAAAGCAAACATTATATACATTTTTGTGTTGAACTGAGTAAACACATAGGGGAAAATATAATTGATGTTGCAACGTACAATTGCCATTGAATGATTTTATCATTCATCGACTATTGGACGACTTTGTACATGTATTTCTTTTCGTTGAATCAACTAAGTTTAATTTTTTGGATGCATTAATGATAAGTAATAGTTACTGATATATTCATACAATGCTCTTTTCATCTTTTTAATTATGATTAAAGATATAAAAAGGATGCTATCGATTTCAGTATAGTCTTTTGCTACGACAAGGGCAAAGTCAGAAAGCCTTTGAAAGATAAAACGTGCATTATTATATAAGATGTAAAAACAATACCTATTTATATTCGAACATGCTCATAAAAGGATAATTGATAAAATTATATTGCACGACATTGAGTTGAGAATTAACTTTCCTGGCGTCATATGGTTTATTGACGTCATATTTGATGTCATGTCACGTGTAAGCATTTCTTTTTGCATATATCTTGTAATAATGCATTTGATTGCCATTTCATCTTAACTGACAGCAGCCATGTTTATAAAACTATATAAACATCACCATACAGTATTATAAGGTTTTATATAGAGATATAAAGTGAAAACATAAAATATCTTATTAAGAATCACGAGGCCTAAGGCTTTGACGTTTTATATGAGACATAACGTAGTAGCTTCTATCAAGTTTAATCTTACCATGATCATCGGAATCAACTTTGCCTAGCCCCTGGTTCAACAGGTCAGGCTTTTAGTGTAATCTATAAGCAAGCTAAAACATTCCTCATTGGACATAACATATGATACAAATGTAAAGTGTTTAACAATATAGAGAGGAAGGAAAGTTAAAGAACATGGTAGATAATATTTTAACATGGTCTCATAAACCATTTTATAAATAGCGGTAACAAATTCAATAAACATATTTGTATTTGCATAGTGCCACATGGGTCTAAGCCCTTCTAGATTATAAAAAATAAAGCAAAAAAATACTAAAAACGGCAAAAATAAATAATGTTGCAGACTGTCCATAAATGTCAAGGGTTAAATATTCAGGTCTTCATAACCTTGTATATGGAATGATCTATATATTTAACATCAATCTGATCAAAATCAACTCCTAATTAACGCTACGCATTATGATCTGAAGACCATCTATAGGTTGTTCCTTTCTCGTCATCTTTCAAACAGCCAATCATCGGGGAGGTTTGACAATTTTTAAAGCGATGCAGTTTCTAATTTTAACCGCTTGAAAACCAATACTGAGTAGGTAATTTTCACGATTTCGGGAACAAACATGACGTTGTCCATTAAGCCGGCAAGTGAACTGACAAAACAATTTTGCCAATTGAGGCTATTATTTCCAATTTATTATTTCAGATTACTTTAAGAACATTTTTCCCCAAACAAAAATTTACATGACTGTAGGAAATATCTTAAGTTGATTTGAACTTAGTCAGACATGTGTGTGTGTTTTTAACACCTTGAGTTCTATAGGGCATTGATCATTGTTAGGTGATGCATGCAAGCAAATGATTAGCTTGTTGTTTCATCTATAAATTAGTGCTATACAATGTGGTGGCATTATACCATGCAGTGACATTGATAACTCTGGATAATTCACTTCGATTTTAGCTTGTTATGACTATTAAAAAAATAGTAGGGCTATCATACTAACCCGGGCGTTGGCGCCTTTGATAGCTAAACATTTTGGTTAAAGTTTTGCATTTACTGTCATATCTCGTTGACCACAAATGATATTTGTCTGTACCTTCACACACTTATTTGAGAGCATAGTAGGAGATCACTATCTTAGACACATAACTCAAGCATACATTCTGACAGAATTATGGCCCTATTAGAATTTTTAAAATTCTTGGCAAAAGTTTTACGAGCAACATCGATCATCAAGGTTTTCACTTGAAAGTAAATACTTAAAGTCTTCGGGAGAATAATTAGAGACTGCATTTCAATAATAGATAAGATGTCTGAAACATTCTGCATTATCTGTTAACTGAAATTGTATCTAGATAATTTTTCACTTATTATAACATATAATAGATAGGAAACGCAAGGGATATTACAGAAACATTCCTCATGGTATATTAAGGTAGTACACCCCTAATGGGCACTATAAGGAACTGATAAATTGACAACATAGGACAGTAATATGCCTTAAATGTCATCTGTATGTAAAATTTAAACAAAATTTACCGTGTGGTTTATGAGTTATGGACATATTTCTGAACTAGAAGGGCTTTTTCAGAAATGAGGAAACTCAAAATTATCTATAATATCATCATTATGAAAAATGTTTTCCTAATGCCTATTGTTCAGAAACAAATAATGCCATTTAGGTAACAAATTAAACAAGCAAAATGATTGTTTTTAAACGAAATGTTTTTAATATGTATAAAAATGTTACCCTACCCACCCACTTTTAACACTTATTTGACCATTTCCATGTGTAAAAAGCCTTTTGTAAAATGAGGGGCTGTTTTCAAAGTTTGCTTAAATTATCTTTAATGTATATTGGTTGGTCTTACAAAATATAAAATACTTTTACCGTGTAGTTTTTATTTTATTAAACTTTGAAAATATCTGGTATCGTATTTGCTATTAAATTTGGCATTATTTAGTACATAGATACCTATAAAAAAAAATATAATTGAAATAAAACACTTTTTTCTTCCATTAGGGATCTGAGAGATTAATAAAAAATGTTAAAAAGAAAAAAAAGAAATAAAACAAAAAGTTGCCCCAACTGGGGCTCGAACCCACGCCCCTCAGTTTCAATACACTTTACAGTGATTCTAGCCTATTTGAATACTCTTCAAAGTGGAGATAGTGCATTAGGGGTGTACTACCTTAAGTAAAAAGTTATCTAGTTATACAGATAATTATCTGATATTTAAGTTAACAAACACAAACTGTTTTAGATAAACAGATAATTATCTATTATTTATATTAGTTAATATCTAAAATTCATAACAAATTAAAAGTAATTTATTTTAGTTCAATTAAGTATAATTCTTAAGTATAATAATGAGGCTATTGTCGGATTCATGTTCAATTCAAATTAGTTCGAGTCGTCGGATTTACCTAGGATATAGATCATTCTAATTACTTAAAATGCGTCTGTCATCCTATGAGCGGTAATTGTAAAAACATTTAAACAAAGATAAAGTTTTGTTATTGCTTACTTTCATTTTTCAGGCAATCAGGAATTATAGCATACTAATAAATTAGGCGATATTTACTTTCTATATATAGTCAGAGAATTATTGTATTCTCTTGAAATAAATACATATGAAGTTTGAAATGATTGATATTGTGTTGATTTATTAATGTTAAGTTATTAAGATCTGACGCGTTACATATAACTATTTTAATAACATTTTCGGCCGAAATGAAAAACTTCTTTGGGAAAAAATGTCACTAATATTAGAAAAGTTTTGACTGTGTAAAATTCCCTAGAGTGTTCATATTAGAACAGAACAGAACAGAACAGTATAGAAAGAATTTCCACAGTACTTTAATACGTCAGGCGATTCGGCGGAGTGGTAAAATCGAGTTTACGGTAGTTTATCTTACGGCGGTATATCGGACAAAAATGATAGTGGAGTTATAAAACTGAAGTGCAATGGGGCAGTAGTTTTAATGGCGGACAGTTATATCGGGAGGCCAGACGGCGGGACGGATACCCTTTTGTTTAATCCGGCGGATTTCGGCGATATTTGTTAAAGTTTCTAGCAAATACCATGGCGGAGTCAATACATAGTGTAATATATGAGTCAAGTTGCATGTCAGTGGATGGTAGACGATCAATAAATACTGTGCATGATTCCAAATCCCATGATCCTGTTGATAATCACAATGATTTAATATTGGATGAGTTTAATACACTAGAGGAAGTAAGAGAAGCAATAAGAAAGCAAGGCCTTGAAACCTGCAACTTAATATTCGGTATGTTCGTTAACTTTATTTATTGTTTGTTGTTTAATCTTTCGTTTAATCTTTTTAAATAGAATCAAAACTAAAGCAATGTGTCGTATAGTAAACGTCAGAGCCTTTCATTCACTTTCCATACATAAATGTGCTTTCAACATGCCAGGGACTTTAAATTCTTAGATGTAAGAAACCGTACAGCTTGCGAACGGAAAATCAGTGGTTCGTACTTGGATGTCCGCTAGTGCCTAATATATATGGCAAATGTACAAAGGCACAACACCTCAGAACAGCTTTACGGTCTCAATTTGACCTTTATGGTGTTTATGTGACCAAACATCAAACGAAATATGTAAGTTAATTGTTTTAGAAAAACATGTATAAAACGTGTTTTGGTAATATACTATCAAAATATAAAGATAGTATGTTATCATAAACATGTTATTGTACATTTCATATCAATGGCTTTGTAGATAAATGGGAGATACATAATTCTCGAAACTAAACATGCTGATATCAGTTTTCTATCATATGCTTATATTGTGAGAGTTTTGTCAGATAATTGATATAAAGCTACATGTACTTGAAAATATAGAATGTAATAATAAACATTCACATTTAAAATATTGAGTTAATTTTGACAGACTTCATTGAATAAAGCTACATGTATTTGATAATATAGGATACAATTAATAAATATACGCATATAAAATTATGTATAGAAATACATTACACAGACTATAATGAAATATTTAATGTTGAAATCTTGAATAAAAGCCACACAATATATCATTATGACAATCAGATGTTGAGCCCTTTAAAACGCATCGTCGGAACCCATGGTAACGCATAGGATGCGATGATATTGAACAGACTGCCTAGCATGATATGTATTTCATTGGGCAAATGCGCTTCATGAATTGATGAAAAAACCAATCAAACGGCCAGAATTACGCTATATTTATGAATAATTAAGTACGAAATATCTTCATTCAGTTTACCCAGGGTATTTACCGATACTGGTATATGGTACATAGCCTGAGATATCGAGGATGCTTAAATTGGTGAAAGAGGGTTTGGAAGGTTGCATGCATTTACTACTGTCGTCAATAAACAGACACAATTCAATGAAGTCTTCACTGTTATCTAGATGCCTGTAAGGTTGCTTTATTCACAACTAACGGATTTTGTAACGTCTTGAAATACATGAATGTTTCGTTGTGCACTGCTGTATACTCAACACACTGAATTTAACTGATATGTCTGTTTTTCTTTAGAAATTAAATTCATTAGAATTTAATTATAATCGCAGATAAAATTGATATTGATACATGTATCTATATCAGGTTGATAAAATCTAGCTATATTAGTTTAGTTTTCAGGTAACGAAGCATGCAGATTTATTGCAGATATTGACTAAACGATGAGTAATAAAAGCCAAGGTCAGAAGACCTTCGAGGGAAAAAATTTACATTCAATATCAGACACTTTACTTAATCCATACCAAAGAGTAAGTAGATAAAACCTGTAAATTATCAGTAAATTTAAAAATCAAAGTTTTGGGAAATGTTTAGAATTTCAGAAGCACTATTGTTGATATTAAGTTAGTCAATCTGACAAGCTTATAGAGTCAGCCTTACAAACAATAGTTTACTTGAATG